TTGTGACACACTCATCAAGAGCAAAATTTGAGATCTGAAAGATAAAAATAAGTGCAAACTGGGGACCAGAGCCTCCTGGTCTATTCCCAGTCTGCCTGCCACCTCTCCCACCCTGGTCTTCCTTGAAGTCAGGCCACTGGGTCCGTGTGCCACCACCACCCACCCCCACACACCGCCTTTATCCTTCTTTTTTTTTCTTTTCTTTTCCTTCACCTTTTGCTTTCCTTAAGCTCCCAAAATATTTTCACTCCTTCCAATGCTTAAAAAAAAAAAAGGATTACTATGGAAATATAAGTGAGATTGACTAAGGAAGCAATAACTCAAACATGGTGCAGGGACCAATGCGTGCGCATCCTTTTTGAGGGCTACATCCTTCCATGGAGAACAGTGACTGACTCAGTGTTGGAATCTGAAAATACGTTTTCCCTAGAATGGATTCATAACGGCTACCTACCAGTCCTCTATTGATTACACAATAGCCTTGAGTATTTAAATACTAGCAGGATTTCCAAAGCGCTCTACCGGTTTGTAGAAGGTTCAGCACTTTGTCAACCAATGACCATTTGGCAAAGGCCAACTCACTCCATGTTAACGCTGTGTACACGCAATTGTTGGCCTGCTGGAGGCATCTCCAGAACAACTCCCAGGCAGAGAAAACGGAAAATGAAAGGCCATTTCCTGAATATGCTAGGACGATGTAACTTACCGACTTAACCCTGTAAAAATGACGTCTGAACCAAGTGAGCACCCTAACACCACATAAAGGGGGGAGTGAGGTAGGGAAGGTGATTTTTATTTTGACAATTTTAGCTTCATCAAAATGCTGTTGCTTCCATTTCTCCAGAATACAAGACAACTCTCTCGTTCTTCCTATTTCCGGCTGCTTAGATGCTCCGGGCCTTACTGACATTTAATTTGGGAAATCCATCCTGACTCTAGTACATTTCCAGAAAAATGAAAAATGTATGGCTCAAAGGAACCTTACAATCGGATCACTCAGAAACTCTAGGAAATATCTTTTGCTGGAAACAAGCAAGTAAGCACTTCCCTGGGTGATAGGCTTAATTGGAAGTTTTGATTTAAAAGGATTAGTGGCCCGTACGGGGATCGAACCCGCGACCTTGGCGTTATTAGCACCACGCTCTAACCAACTGAGCTAACCGGCCAGCCTGCACAGCGACTTTTACTCAGGCACCTTAACTTTTTTCTTCCTTATAGAAAGTTCTAGTTCTTCAGTTTCGTCAAAGGGAAATTCTGCTGCCGCTCTAAGCGGGCTGCTCTTCTGCCTGAAAAAAAAAACGGCTTTTCCCAAACCGATCAAACAAAACTTGCAGAAGTCCCGGCGCGGGGTTTCACTGCAGCTGCCCGGAGAGTGCTCGGGACAGACGAGGAGGTCCCGAGCCCGTGACCGTCGCGGGCCGAGCCGCCGCCGCCGCGCAGCCCCCCGAGGAACGCGGCTCCGTAGGCGGGACGCGGCTTCTCGGAAATAACTCAGGGCAGCTCCGCTGATCGGGGCCTGGGGGACCCCGGAACCTGAGACCCTCCCGCCGCCCGGACCTCGCGGTGGGCCCGCGACCTGGAACTTGGCCTTGGGGAATGAGGAAGTGTCGGACTTGGCGCCGCAGTCCCGCCACCGGGCGCGTGGTGGCGCCCGAGAGTCCCTTCCCCGACTGCTGCCCCCGCACTGGCCGTTCCCACTCGCGCCGCGACGCTGCGGGGAGGCGCGTGCTCATTCCTCGAGGAATAAACTGTGCGGCCGCGAGGGGGGTGTGGGGGGGATCTTTAACCCCTTGCTGGCCATCGAGACTTCAAATGAAACCAACGTGGTTCGTGGAACTGGGGACCCGGGGAGGGCCGGCCTCTATTTCCTCGGTTACTTTTCTCGCGGGGGGGGTCTTTAGATTTCGGGGAACCCGCAGAGGTCACGAGGGGGAGGACACGGTCCAGCCTAGCCACGCCGCATCACGGACTCTCGTGTGACTCCGGATTTTAAATCCAGGGCGAGGGCAACCGTTTGTGGCTTTAGTTTGGCTTTAGTTATTTGTAAATAAAAGCAGGTCAGATTTTTCGGAAGGATTTTTCAGTGGGGACAGAAAAAAACTACGAGCTCAGCGTTGTTTCCGCCCGGTTTCGAACCGGGGACCTTTCGCGTGTGAGGCGAACGTGATAACCACTACACTACGGAAACTGCCGCTGGCCAAGCCAGCCCCACCCAAGGGTAATTGAAGAAACTGTGCCCGTAGGCCCCAGAGTTATACTAACGGTTCTTCCAGGGCTTGTGGATCGCTGGGATGCATTTCTTTCCTCTTTCCCGGTTCTGAGTAATAAACAACTGACTACCAAATAAAAGTTTGACTCAGGGTACCAATTCTGATAAGTTAGTCTATCAGTGGGCCCCAGACAATAGTTTACTAGGTTTTAGAGTTGTCAGTCTGAAAAGTAACTCAAATAGAGTATTTTTCGTTTTTTTTTGTTTTTGATATTAGGCCGTGGAGGAGAAACTTGGTTAATAGACTATCAGTTATTTTCTTTTTGAAAACCTTGTTTCAATGCCCATCATTCCTCTCCTTAGGAGTATTATAAATCCTATAATTGGACAATTAAGGGCAGTCTGTCTAGCCATAGAATGCCCTTGACTATTTCCCTGGGCTAACTCAGTATCCCCTTTTTGATGACCACTGCAGTGCATATCTACTATTTCTTTGGGGCCTGTGCTGGTTCCAATAGCTTGAAGATTTCTTCTCCATACTTTATTGAATTCTCTTTACCTGTTAGCTCTACCCTTTTCTTGCTTATTGCAGCATGAGCATCTAAGACTAAGAAAGCATATTTAGAATCAGCATAGATATTTACCCTAAGTCCTTCGCCAACTGGATGAGAGTAAATACTCCTCTCTTCTCGCTGAAGATCCCCTGGTAAGACTTCAGTTTCCAGTGTCCTGGTAAGACTAACAACAGTATATGCAGCTTTTTGAGTTCCTTCATTAACTAGGCCACTGCCATCAGTAAACCAGCGTGGTCTGGATTATCAACTGAGTTGTGACCCCAATTCTTGCACAGACTCCAAGCTTGGAAAGCCTGAGTAGCATCCTGGAGAATGTATTGTATGGGTGTGAATTAATGATTTTTTCCTTATTTTTTTTCCAATGTAGGACATGAGTATACCTGACACCTATACCTATATAGATGTAAGAGGCACAGCATAATGATTTAACTTATATGTTCTGTGAAATGATTAGCTCGCCTGGAGGATTGGAGTACAAAACCTTCCCATGTTGTCATCCTTCACCCATTTCTCTGTCCCTGCCATTCCCTCTGACACTTATCATTGGATGACAGAAAATAACCCTGGGAACTGGAATTAGGTTACCTGAGCTCAGGAGATGGTAGCAAGCCACCAGCACTTTCTCCATAACTTCATTTGTCTCTGCCTCTGCAGACAACTGCGGGGGGCCTCCGCCAGACCACTCTCCGGCCCACGGAAGTGGCCCTATGGTCCATAGGTGCAGGGAGGGACTGACCGAATGAACACAAGACAGAAGAGACATAATGCAGTTTAGAAGCAGAGAGAAAAAGGGACAGGACAGAGCAGATAGGACAGCAGACAGGACAGGACAGGACTTTATTCAGGGCAGCAGGGGTATTATATACTTTGCGAGCAGGAAACTATGCTTACATCACAGAAGGCAATTACATCACTAGGTCATATCATATATGGTTAGGAGAGTTACAAAGACTATATGTTTCATATGCTTGGTTAGTCAGTGTCAGTCACTTCTTATTCTTGGGCTAGCTGTGACAAATGTTTTCTTTTAGATAACCATACATAGCTCAGGATATGCATAGGCTGTGGTCAGAGCAGATGCAGTACCAGATTTACGCAAGTCAGGACCCGCTTGTTCAGGGTCACAAAGGCCAAGATAACCATACATAGCACAAGCACGACGTAGGCTCTTGGTAAGTTAAAGGGCCAGCTTCCCACACACAACCACCATCTTTGACACCAAAAACAAATGCACAGCCTCAGAGAGTCAGCATGCGTGTGCAACCTCAGAGAGCCCACACCTATGTAGTGACCTCAGAGTGCCAGCATGCATATGCCATCCCATACATCCAAGCAACAATCCTCACAACAAAGGGAATTATTAATATAAGAGTCATTTTTTAGTGTGTGTTGTAACAAGCAATAAAAACTAAACTATTCTGTGCCTGCCTAGGCTTGGGAATAAATGAGAAACTGGGGACAATGGTGGAGAGAAGGTCTCACTGATAGTGGGATCAGTGTCAGAACATTGAATGCCTGAAACAGCTATGTTATGAACAACTTTGTACATCAGGGTGTTTAAATAAAGTTTAAAAATACAATAAATGCACAAAAAGGCAAATAAAATAGTCTTTCTTTGCTTGACAGGAACTCAAAGACTTCCTCACAAATTATAACAATTTTTTATAAGCCTTCCTGCTATAGTCAGGATAACTTTTTTCTCTTGGTTTACTGCTCAAATTCACTCACACAAGAATCAAGACCAGATTCTAAGTCATTTCACTTCTGGATACCATGCTTATTTTTTTTTAATCAGAGTTGAACAAAAACACTCTATTAAAGTTTTTTTTTTGTTTTGGTCTGAGGAATAAATGCCAAATTGGCAATATTTGGCAATAAAGTGCAAGCAATCCAATTGCTCTTGATAAGACCAAGAACAAACAAAGTCTTTCCAAAGTGATTGCTAAGAAGAAAACTGACTTAGGAAAAACATAAATTCTTATCTTGGGTAAAGGTTAGGAATAGGATAGAGACAAAGGAAGAGAAGAATCTGCATAATAATTCACTAACATCAGGGTTTGTATTTTAGTCAGGAATCTTGCTAAAAATAGAGATTCCTGAAGATCTTTATTTTCTGGAATGAAATAAACTAAAAAGGTGAAAACAATCTCAAGCACATTTCAGGGATATTATAATTACTCTACACTTCCGGACTATAATCCCTAGTACCTGTGTAGATACAGATTGAGGTTAGCATGCCCTGCACGAGGAATTTCTTGTGGCCTTCCTGAGGTGGTTGTCTTGTAAGATTCTCTGAGATGTATCACTCTCACTACTTCTGCCCCTTTTTTTGATACTTCAGATGGTCAAATACAAAGTGTAACCCAGAAGTAGGTCTGATACACAACCAAAGAACTGCTCAATCTTGCCAATTGGATGGAAACCTGGAAAACTGAAACCTGGGAATGGATCTAAAGAGTAAAGGATCAAGGTGAAAGGAATATAAAACGGTATCAGACTAAATGCACTGATAAGGTGTTACTCAACAGAGATACCTGATTTGATGTGTAAACTCAAGGGGGACTAATTGGGATTGAGATTAACTGGGACGAATTGCCATTTGTTAATTTTTAATTCCATGATAAATACACGGATTCAGAGCTTGGTGATTCTGTAATGGCTCTTCCTTATAGACCGGAATTACGGTGCAATCTGTGGGCTCTGAGCTGGGTTTCCCAAACACAGTGTCTCCACCTTGATCGGGTCCAACCCTGGCACATTCCCTGTGAACAGAAGGGTGTTATAAGAGAATGTACTGTGATACCTCAGGATGGATACGTCGAAGTCTTAAGCCTCAACTTGGTGACAAGCCAGGAAGACCTGTGGGGAGTTAATAAATTGGGTAAGTCACATGGATTAAAGTCCTTATAGCAAGAGAGGAACACCAGAATGCTCTCCTCCTCCACAGTGCACAGACAAAAAGTCACAGGAGGGGACACTGAGACGGAGTCTGTCTGCAAGTCACAATGAATCCCTTACCAGAAGCACACCCTAAGGAAATTTTTATCTAGGACGTGATCTGTGAGACAGAAGAATTTTCTAGAATCAAGTCAGTGTAGAGAAAAGCCTAGTCCAGAAAGAACAAAGGCACATTGACTCCCCTATATCCCCCCAAATTTATATTATTATTCTTCCTAGCCTTCCTGGAAGTCCATATACCTAAGTAATAGTGCAGTCGGGAAAATGAGGAAAATAATTAAACTTTTGAGGGATTAGTCAATGACTAGGACCTGGCATTCATTCCCAGAGATACAAAACACTGTCTACCAGACAATGAAGGACGAACAATCAATGAAGTTTGGCCCCTGGTCCATTTTACTATAGGCATCGTGGGGTCCCTGAGCCTACCTTGTGGTGATTTCTCCAAATCTAGACAAGCATCTCTCTTGTTCCTGCGATGAATGGAATAAAGATAATTAGGATATACAAAGCCAAGTGGGAGCATTGAAATTCCTCTAAAGCAATAATAAATCAAAACTAATACTCTATTCTGGGCAGACTACAGAGGTTAGAGCACCAAGAACTTACAAGTCCTTTCAATTTGCAGGAGAAATGGTTCACATTCTATCTCTGTTCAATTCACTGATTCAGCAACAGAGGGTAAACGAATTGTGTACAAATGAACTGTGGAGGGAGATGTGGTTTAAAGGGATCAGATAAATCTGCTCTTTCGGGTGTCATTTTATTACTGGAGAATATTCATACAAGTCTCAGGCACCAATTTGCATTCACCCTGCTTAAAGGTAAGGTAAAGGTAAAGGCCCTCCCGTTGATCGTCGATTTGCTCGAGCAGGCCCAGTAACGTCTCCATTGGAGACTTTGTTGTTACTGTGTCTGGCATATCGAATACCCTGCTTAATCATTGGAAACTGTGAATTTGCTCTTGTTTAGCCAAATCAGCTGTGTACCTAATATGTTCTATCTCAGAGGCAGATCAAGTCTTTAAATTAGTCTAAAGAGACTTTATACCTTACCATTGGAACTTAAAGTTGTACCCTGTACCCTGTAGAGATAGTTTTGACAGGAAGATAATAACACCTACTCTAGAATATTGTTAAGGCATTTGTTTGTGAGAAGGTGAGAAATAATCTCACAAAAAGTAATTCTTACCACCCTGTGAAACTCTAAGGGTTCAGCTGCTTAAAACAGGATGAGTCACTGCATCTGACTCTTCATTACTGAGGAAGCAATGGGACCTGGATCCCCTTCTATGGATTTGTGAATTAACATCAGAGAATATCACGCTAAGGGACCTGAAAAATTCCCTTGGCTTGATCCTTGGTCTTTAGTTCTTGACTGCTAGAGATTAGATGGAAGACAGTTATTGTTTTAAGACCGTTCCAGAACAGCCTGACCTTCCACTTGAAGATAATCTCCTAAGAACACACCAGGTTTTACTTATGTGTAGGCACTTAGTGGTCTTCTTTCTCTTAAAAGTGCACCGTATTCCACTGAGCAGTTATGCCATAAGTTTATCTAATAAAATGATTCTGAACTCTTAGGTTTCTAGTTTTACTCTTGCAAGTATAAACTTGAGCATAATACAATCTCCCAACTGCCAGTAGATCCCCGGCATTTGTAGCGATGCTATATCAAGAGACAAAGGCTTGGGAAATGTTGATGAATTCTGCCACACTGTCCTCGGTGGAGACAAAGTAGAGCGCATTTATCTCTGGAGAACATGATGAATAGAATCTCAGGCCCATTTTATACAGCTCACTAGGCAATCCATGAAAATTGCAGAAAACACTGAAGATAGAAGGATTCTTATAATTAATGCAGGAATAATGATGTTTATAAAGACTATGATGTTAGTGGGGGGCTAGAGAGAACAGGTCCAGTTAAAGAGGCCAAGCAGTGGCCACGTGGAGATATCTGATGAGACGCCTTGGGAAGTGACCTCCTTTTGCTGTTTGCTCGCTCTAAATTTACCAAGTAAACTAAAAGAGACAACATCAATAGGAAGAAGTACAGCGGCTGGACCATATATGTATATAGCTCTTCAGATAGCAGCCAATAGGCAAGTACCGAGCTGTGATGGCCGAGTGGTTAAGGCGTTGGACTCGAAATCCAATGGGGACTCCCCGCGCAGGTTCAAATCCTGCTCACAGCGGATGCTAGCATTTTTCTAAATCACACACCTGGAGGTAATCCGTCTTTCTTCTTATTCTACCAGAACAGAAATAAAAATATACGTAAATGAAGGCAAAATTTCCACCCTGAGCTCCCCGTTGGCCCTCCGTTGGCCCTGCCCCTGGGCAGGATTCGCTGCTCCCCGGAATTTGCACCCCTCACTGCGTTGACCTCTTGCTGGCCCAGCATCTCTGAATCTAAGCTGCCCTCTCGGGTGATCCGCAGGCAGCTCGAAGCCTGGAGCTGAGCCGCCAGAACTGACACTAGCATTGCAGCAAGATTTGCTTTCAGCTGCAAGGAGCGACAGATGCCAATGGCAAACAGCAACATTACATTTGTAATACAGTTCCTCGAGTCGGCGGGAACTGCAAAGATCTGGACTCATCAAGCTCTCTCTCAAGGCTTTGTGGGAGAATGAGGAAATTGAGGTAGAGGACGTACACAAAAGGCAATGAATCTACTTGAAAAGAGGCATCTGGATCCAGGTTTTCTTGCACCCTGACCGCCCTCGGACCAGACCGTTGTGCATCCCTCTCGGAGGGGAGATTCTCATGTATCTCACTTTTCTCTTTCCACTCGCCTGCTGCGCCTAAGTCGATCCCTTAAACATAGCCAGTTTATGTAATGATGAGTGATATTCTTTAATTTAGTAATTTCGTCATTTCGCTGCACTCCTAGATTCTTAGGTGAATTTGGCTCTTAAAATATTTAATTTTATTGAATTCTTGCCTTCATCTGGTCTAATTTGGAAGGGTGAGCGCTTCCGAATGTTCTGCTCTGAAAATTCAGACCTTATTCCTGAAAGTAAAAACTGATTTGTTTCCTCTATAGTTAGAGATGGTCCGATGGAGGGTGAGGTGGCGAACATATGCTCTAATACCTCAGGCAGGCCCTTTAATCCACTCTTTTTCCTGATGCCAAAATTAAAAATGACATGAACCACTAAGTATTGATCATACAGCATTAAAAAGTAAATCAGGCAAATGACACTGATGAATGAACTGCATAAATTAATGAAGCATTTACATTACATGCTTGTAGTTTAGTAAAAACAATAGAAATAAGAATATACGCAGATGGAGGGAAATGAGTGAGTAATTCTATCGCATGTATGATGCTCCCAAACAGAACTTTTATTTATTTATTTATTTATTTATTTATTTATTTGTTTGACTACCCCTGACTGTGCATAGGTCTTATTACTGACTCTGAGCTCAGAGATCAGTTCTAGCGTTGTTCAGGGATCTATATGGCTGGCAGAAATCAAACCTGGTGGGCCAAGAGCAACACATTACCTGTTGGACTATACTGAACTATCTCTCCAGCCCCCCAGAAATAGAAAGCTCTATTATAAATATCTTAAAGGAATTTCATTTATGGGAGCTGTAAGGAATTCTAACTTATTTAATGAGTCATTAATTTCAATAAATTAACCCTTAGCTTTACCAGAATCTGCAGGTCTTTTTGATTCAATTCTCTGTACCAGAACATAGGAAGTCAACTGTTTTCTCAATGTCAGAATGAACAGTGACAATTTATGGTCATTGAGAAGTTAGGAAAGCACTGCATCAGATCAGAGACTCCAAAGGAAAGCACTGGATCAGATCAGAGACTCCAAGTTTGACTCCTAGCTCTCTTGACTTTTGTCCCATTTTCTTTTAGCAAAATACATTCTTGGGTGAACTTTCTAAATTGAGAAAAGAAAGAATTTATAAGGCCCTACAGAAAGTAATACCTTTGCCCCTGCTCTTTGGTCTAATGCTTCCACAAAGCACCATCTGGGTAATTCCTTAAGTGTAAGTAGATGCGCAAAGAATCTCTCTTTGAAAATGCCCTTTTAAAAACTCTTTTTTTTGATATTGGAACATTGTATGACTGAGACCCAGTCATGAACAGCTTTGTGGTGATTTACCTCACTGTGATTCAATAAAAAAAAAAAAAAATAGGTAAATTCATGTATTTTGAAGCATGTCCTAAATAGATATTTGTCAAATATATATATTTTATTTATATCCCAGGACCTATTATCTAGTAATGTTGGGCCAAAGATGTTCAT